CGTTTGGTTCTTAATTTCTTTTTGTTGTTTGTAATTTCTGTGTTTGATCTAATCCTTGGCGAATTGGATCCACGTTGTATCTTGTTAACTAGTTGCTGTTCACTTTGTTCGCAAGAATAATAAGTATATATGTGTGTTATTTCTATCCTAATCATACAATTTACTTTTAGCAGAGATTAAAAATATTAATGCTGAGTTCATCGAGCCAAAGCTGCCTGTAAGAGTTAATAATAAGATTATATATCCTTCTTTCTGGAAATATATAATTAATTGTTATTAAGAGTACGACTTTGGAAATCATGTTCTAATTTGACAGCTCCAAAGCTGAATACATCTATGATGTATGACTCCTACAATCTAAATTAATATTTTAATTTCTGGTCAATGTCTAGAACGAGAATAACATTAGACAATGATCCTAGCATCCACCCACTCCTCCAACGGGTTGGCCCACGATTCAATGTTGACAGCTTTAATCTCAACCAGTGCATCTTGTAACTGCATGACTTTTCTTTTCTTTGTTGTTTTTTTGTTTGACTGGATGTATATCAGACATTATACTTATAGCTTTGTGACTTTTCGACTAATTTAGGATATTTTATATATAGGTTGGGGGTTCGGCCTTAACCCCACCCTAAATAAAAAAAAAAAAAGCTAAAAAAAAAAAACCAGTGCATCTTGTAACCTTTTGATGAAATACATGATCAAGAATGCAATGACCAAGTCAAAGAGTAAAGGAAGTTTACTCTTGTCTTATTATCCACCTTGCATGTGCATGGGACCACAACTTTAAATTTTTGCACTTAATTGTCTTGTAGCCAAGACTAGGGTTGCTTTGTCATAGTATATATATGTAATGTCCTTGAGACTAAGATGTATGGAATGTTATCAATTCATTTTCATTTCCTGATTCTATCAGCCGCCATGTATGGCTCCTTCTCCTTTGCACACTATCATGAGATAACCTGAAATTCTTCATGGTATCAGAGACATAATCATCCTCGTTCTTCATTTATCATTTTTCTCCCTTTATTTTCTGTTTAGTCTTTGTCATGGCTTTCACTGCTCAGACCCCTGGTAGCACGAGCTCCACCGTCATCAATGGAGCCTCCAACCAACTCATCTTCCCGCAGTCACAACTAATCTCCATTAAGCTCGATGATTCAAACTTTTTGATCTGGAAACAACAGATCCTTACTGCCATAAGAGGATATGGCTTGGAATCTTACATCTCTTCCACTGCAGCACCTCCAGCTCGCTTCATCCCACCTGAAGAAGGAAGCATTCCCATCATCAACCCTGAACATGACATTTGGCAAAGACAAGATCAACTACTTGCATCTTGGATCTTGTCCTCTCTCAGCCAAGGTATACTAGTTCTTGTTGTTGGTTTTTCTACCTCTAAGGAAATATGGAATGCTCTTGAAAGAAACTTTGCCAGTCAGTCACGAGCTAGAATAATGCAACACAAATTAGAGCTACAAACCATGAAAAAGGGCAGCATGACTATGAGGGAATATTTGAACAAAATGAAGACCTGTTTTGATCTTTTAGCTGCAGTGGGTGAAAGAGTTAGTGAATCAGATCAGGTTCTGCATCTTTTAAGTGGCCTGGGGCAAGAGTATAACTCTATCATGGTAGCTGTTACCTCTAGACTCGAGCCTTGGACCATGATTGATCTTCAAGCTTTACTATTGAGCTATGAGTCCAGATTGGACTTCTTGAGCACAAACCTTCATCAAGTGAACTCTGATGGCTCTCAGCCTACTCTGAACATTGCCTCTAAAGAATCAGAAGGCCCTAACATGGGAAACACCTCAAATAATGGGGGTAGAACACCTATGTTCAACAATTGGAGAGGCAGATCAGGAAGAAGAGGGTCTTTTAGAGGCAGAGGTGGAAGGTTTCAAGGAAATAGAGTTCAATGCCAAGTTTGTGGTATCCTGGGACACACTGCTGATAGGTGTCGGCACAGGTTTGATCAAACCTTTGTGCCAAATCAAAATCCATCTCATAATAACTTTCAGAGGAACAACACTCAACCTGCTCTCAACATGGTTCAATCAAGTGGAAGTCCCTCAATTGTGTCTGAAATTGGAGTGGACAGTGGTGTCTGGTACCCGGACTCAGGTGCATCTAACCATGTTACAAATGATTTTTCTAACCTGAGCATCTCAAATGAATATCTTGGTGGGAACAGGTTGCAAATGGGAAATGGAGTTGGTGAGTCTATAAATCATGTTGGTACAAGTCATTTGAAATCACCAATCATTCCAAAATTTTTATTCTTAAAAATCTTCTTCATGTACCAAGTGTGACCAAGAATTTATTGTCAGTCTCTCAATTTGCAAGAGACAATAGTGTTTACTTTGAGTTTCATCCCACTGTTTGCTTTGTGAAGGACCAAGCAACTCAGGCTGTTCTACTCCAAGGGAAACTTTGTGAAGGATTGTACAAGTTCAGCCTTCTTCCTACAAGTAAAGATCATGATCCTGATGATAGCAGTAATGAAGTGCATTCTCCTATGGCACATGCAATTTCTTTTCCAAGAAGGCCCAACTTAGAGTTGTGGCACAAGAGATTAGGGCACACTGCCTATGATGTAGTTGAAAAGGCCTTAAAATCTTGTAATTTGACTTATGATTTGAACAAAGATGTTAATTTATGTTCAGTGTGTGCAGTGGCTAAAAGTCACAAACTTCCTTTTAATGATTCAAGTATTCAATATGATAAACCATTGCAGCTTGTTCATTCAGATTTATGGGGACCAGCCCCATTAAAGTCTAACAATGGTTATGTTTATTATGTCTGCTTTATTGATCATTATAGCAAATTTTCTTGGGTTTATTTCATGAAGCAAAAGTTAGAATTTTTTGACATCTTCTTGCATTTTAAAAGCATGGCATAAAAACAGTTCAACACATCACTTAAGGTTTTTCAAAGTGATTGGGGTGGTGAGTTCAGATCTTTGACCTCTTTTTTCCAACAAAATGGAATCATCCACAGAATCTCATGTCCACATACTCCAGAGCAAAATGGTGTGGCTGAAAGGAAGCACAGACACCTCATAGAAATGGGACTATCTATCTTGGCACAATCTCATTTGTCATCTAAATTCTGGGAAGATGCAGTGGCAACATCTTGTTACATTATCAACAGGGTGCCAGCTAAAGGGTTTGGATACAAAAGTCCTCTTGAAATGCTTCACAAGCATAAACCCAATTACAATAGTCTGAAGGTGTTTGGCTGCCTATGCTTTCCACACTTAAGGAGCTTCAACAAGAGCAAGCTTGAGATGAGATCACAGCCCTCAACCTTTATTGGTTACAGCAATTCACATAAAGGGTATAAAATTCTTCTTCCAATTGGAAAGGTGATGATTACTAGACATGTGATCTTCAATGAGTAGGTTTTTCCTCATGCACAGGCTTCAAATAAAAATGCAGCTACTTCAACCTTTTCCCATCCAGAAATTGGAGATGTTGGTTGTCCACCTTTGATTCAAAGAAGTAGAAGAACACATACAACTCAACCAAGGAGACCTCAGACCCCAGTAAGATACAATCTATCTAACCAGTCCACACCAACAGGAACTCAAACTTCAAAGAGTAACACCACAGTTCCCATTTATGTGAACATGCCAATTTCAAGTTCCAGCACTCCAACTTCTATTGCCCCTCTTGTAGCTCAAGAAAATCAAAACAGGCATCCAATGGTGACTAGGCTTAAAGCAGGCATCCGAAAACCAAGAGCTTTGACTGGAGTGCTAGAAGAAAAGGAACCAAGCAATTTATCTGAGGCACTAAAGTCTTAAAATTGGAAGAAAGCTATGAGAACTGAGTATGAAGCCTTAATGAGGAACAAAACTTGGTTTTTGACCTCTCCACGTCAAGGAAAGAACATTGTGGGATGTAAATGGGTGTTTAAGATCAAAAGAGATCTCAGTGGCAAAATCATTAGATACAAAGCACGGTTGGTAGCTCAAGGCTACTCTCAAGCAAAGGCTTTGATTTTCAAGAAACTTTTAGTCCAGTGGTAAAACATACCACTATCAGAGTTTTTCTCACCATTGCCACTTCACTAAACTGGAAGGTACGACAGCTTGACATCAATAATGCATTTCTTAATGGAGAGTTATCTGAAAACATATATATGATGCAACCTTCTGGATTTGAGCAAGAATCTGAGACACCTTTGGTTTGCAAGCTTACCAAGTCCATCTATGGATTAAAACAAGCCTCCGGAGCCTGGTTTCTGAAGGTGAAGTCTACCTTACAAACCTTAGGTTTTACTTGTTCCAAAGCAGACAATTCCCTATTCTTTAAACTCAGTCAAGGAACAGTGATCTACCTTTTAATTTATGTAGATGATATTTTGATCACTGAAAATAATGAAGATGCAGTGAGCAGCATAATCAACTTGTTAGGGAAGAATTTCTCACATAAAGACATGGGAGAACTGCATAATTTCTTAGGCATTATCAGAAGGACTGAAGAAGGAATGCATCTCAATGAAAGACAGTATGCACAAGACCTTCTTCATAAGGCCTCAATGGCTGAGGCTAAGGGCATTGCCACTCCAATGGCTTCTCATACTCAACTCAGCAAGTATGAAGGTAAAGAAAATGCAAATGGAACTCTTTTCAGGAGCTTGGTGGGTGGTTTGCAATACCTAACCATTACCAGGCCAGATTTGGCTTATAGTGTCAACAAAATTAGCCAATATATGTCAAACCCTTTGGATACTCACTGGAAGGCCATAAAAAGGATATTGAGATATGTCAATGGAACTCTGCATTTTGGCCTCAACATTACTAAAGCAGCACAACTTAACCTGGTTGGTTTCTCAGACTCAGATTGGGGAGCTGACATTGATGATAGAAGATCAACTACAGGTTTTTGTGTGTTCTTAGGTGGAAATTTAATTTCTTGGAATTCAAGGAAGCAGGCTTCAGTTTCAAAATCAAGTGCTGAAGCAGAATACAAGAGTCTCTCTCATGCCTGTGCTGAAGTCATGTGGCTTACTTCATTGTTGAAAGAAATCAGAATCACAACTCTACAAAAACCTGTGATCTGGGTTGACAATCAGAGTGCTATTGCCTTGGCCACAAATCCAGTTTTACATGCTCGAACCAAACATGTAGAATTAGACTATCACTTTGTAAGAGAGAAAGTGGCTGCCAACCTCTTGGATGTAAACCACATTCCCAGCTATGAACAAGTGGCAGATGTTCTAACCAAACCACTTGGGGTGCAATTCTTCACAAGGCTGCGTGGAAAACTTAAAGTCTCTCCTTCACCCTTGTTTGAATTGAGGGGGGCTGATGAAATACATGATCAAGAATGCAATGACCAAGTCAAAGAGTAAAGGAAGTTCACTCTTGTCTTATTATCCACCTTGCATGTGCATGGGACCACAACTTTAAATTTTTGCACTTACTTGTCTTGTAGCTAAGACTAGGGTTGCTTTGTCATAGTATATATATGTAATGTCCTTGAGACTAAGATGTATGGAATGTTATCAATTCATTTTCATTTCCTGATTCTATCAGCCGCCATGTACGGCTCCTTCTCTTTTGCACACTATCATGAGATAACCTGAAATTCTTCACCTTTGTAAGATCAATACTATTTGTCTCGTTGAGGTCAGAGTTCTGACCCGGGTTTTAGGCCTTCGGCTTCCTCTTATTTTCATTTGTATTTTTTTTTTTGCCTATTGTTCATCGTTTTGCCCGGAATCCATATGGACAAGCCTCCGGATCACCGTGTCACTAGGTCAATTGTTGAACTGAATAATTAATTTTAAATTTTGAAATTATATATATATATATGTAAAAGTAATAAAAGTAATAGAAATTGTAGAGCTAAGAAATCATGATCATTTTCGGAGAGGAATTTGAGCCAATTTTCTGTAATTTCATTTCTGATATTTTTCATACTGAAGAAGACGATAATCACATCCATATATACATGCAGTCCCACACCAGCCATACTAGCTAATACGAGCACGACACGTGCTATTTAAGTTGGCAAAATAAAAGAAGAAAAACGAGGCACGAGTGGAGTCCACTTGATTTCTTATTTTTGATAGGACCCACTTAATGTGAGTGTTATGTACACATCTATGTACAGTATTATGTACTTATAACATTTCTCAAAAAATATTAGCAATTTTAATGACACGGTTAGTTATTTCTCAAAGATATCCTTGATCAATTCGTAGAAATATCTTATAAAGATAATACAATCATGAAGTTTGACTATATGTTTGACCAAAATATTTCTAATTGTTTTAATAATGTTGACTTTTTGCTTAATGAATTAAGAAGAAATTTTGCCTATTGATGTATTGGGCTCCAACGGGTAGATATAAGAACGTCAACACTATAATGAAAGAAAATCACTCTTGAATAACCTTACATAAATCAGTAAAAGAATTAATGCATCTATAATATACATTATGTCTTTATTTAGTTCTTTAGTGGCTTTTTTTTTCAATTATGGACTCATTTTTCATGTACTTTTGTCGGGGGTTGTAATATGTTATTTTATTCTTTGATGTTAGTTTATCTTTATGTTAATTTTAAAAATAAATACATTAAAAGCTCATTTTGAAATAATATGTTTAATAAATTAGTTATTTTACTAAACTTAATTGGCAAAATGCATTCGCCACCACGTGCGATGCACGTGCACTTTACTAGTTATTGAAAAGTGTCGTACTCATGATACTATTAACTTTCATCTCAAAATTAAATATTTTATAATGACTATGTTAGAATTTAATAATTATAAATGGTAAACGTTATTTCTATGACCAAAACATACCCTATTAAACTGAACTTATAATATCAACATTTGTTTTATCATCAATATTTTTATCACTAAAACGTACCCTATTAAACTGGATTACGACGCATTGTGTCGATATGTCTCGTGTATAAGTGCCGATGTGGCTCCACGATGCCACTGGTAAAAGATGCTGCCTATGTAATCATTTTGAGGCGCTAATAACAACATTCTATTGGACATTATTAATAAAATAAATCAGATCGGCAAAATGTGTACATAACACAACGAAAGTACATTATCAACAAAAGCAACACAATAAAACCTACAACAAACGTAATATTCACCATATAATGGCTCATATAAAACCCAAAAGATCCCATCTCACAGAACACTGTCTATACAGATACTATGCAGATCGAGTTTTGATAGAGTTACCAACAACTTGGTCGGATAATACATGTCAGAACGTGCTAATATTTGGCTATTAGCTTAGTCTTCCCTGTGCAACGTGCAGAACCTCCCTAATACTACCGTTGCTCGACTGAAATAAGCCAAGAAGTGTTCAAGTTGAAATATAAATTACACACGCATCATATCTCTAAAAAAGTATTGTCACATTTTTTTTTGTTCTTTTTCTTTTCCTCAAGACAAATGGTCTCTTTGTATTTATTTTTTATTTTTTGTATTTTTTTACGTGATACGAAATAGACAATATTTATTTTCATGTGGCGATTAGTGTTCAGTCTCGATTTCTTTTGCGAGCTCTCTTGTCAGCTTGTCGGCCCTATCATCGTGGCCACCGGCAAATGTGTAAACTCTGAATGCAAATTGGAAGGCCCTCCACATAAGTTTTCCTGATACGGTCTTTTTCGTGTCTGGTTTATTAGGGTCCACGTTTTCTTTAGCTGAGGCTTCCCTTTTCTCCTGAAAACAAGAAAATATAACTAATTTTAATTTAAAATGCTATTTATAATAGTTTTCTAATGCATGAGAAACTTGCTTTAGAAAAAATAGAATAAGACGAAATTGACCTTAAGTGCTGCCTCCATGCAGTTTGAGGAGACATCCACCATCAATTCCTTAATGCGTAAAAGGATGCCGAAATCAAAGTTGATCTTCTGGGCCTTAAATCTCTTAAGTTCTTCGTCTTTGGTACGCTCAAGCGCATCCATCTCTACCTTGATCTAAATGTTATACCATTTCTCCTTAGTATTTGGCCATCTCTTTTCTTTTTAAATATTGGAATAATTCTACGTAAATCCCAAAACAGTATTTTATTAGGTGCCTATATTATACTTAGAAGTAATTTTATTTTTGTTTTTTCACAACTTTATGTATTCTTGACCAGCTTATATTAAAACTGCATTATCTTGTTTTAATACATCCAATTCCGAACAATTTAAATTTAGAAAAAGACCTGCAATCTATAAAAAGATCGATCTTACCTAAACTCTCTTTTTTTTTTCAGGGATTTTACATACCTTGTTGAAGTAGGACTCAACTTTTTCCAAAAGTTGGCCAATTGGTGAAGCAAATGGCCATTTCTGCAAGGTGTTGGCAATTGAATCTAACTTGGAGTACAAGGCTGATGCCATCCTTATTGCTTCCAATTTCTTTCCAGGAAAATCTTCGAATCTGGCTAGCACCTATTAATTTACATAAAAAATTAAATTCAAATGAGAATATTGTAAAATCTATATATGGTATCTTAGAAATCAAACAACAGAAAATCGTAAGCAAACCTGAGTTTCATCAGTTAGTTTCTCAAGGTTGGATTCCACAAACTTGTGGAATTTTAGCAGCTCAGTCATGTCTGACGTCTCGAAGGAGCTGATCTTAATTTTTACCTCCTTAATTACGCCAGCATAGTTTTTCACGTCTTCTTCGATTTGTTGAAAGTATGCCGACCTGGCGAGCCATCAGTTCTTGTTTTGAGAAAGAACTAATTATGTGGAAGAAACAACTATTGATGTGTTTTCCTGTATTTAGGATTTGGTATTACCTCTTAGTCATCTCTGCAAGTGCATCAGCCATCCCCTGTTTTCCTCCAGCAGCCGCAGTTCCAATTTTACCCTTGCGTCCCGCGGACTTTCCATCTAAGGTTGACCCTTCGACTTTCCCCTTCAGAAGCCTATACAGGTTGCCCATCTGCGACGACCTCTTCAGCTTTGTTGTGGCTTTCCTCGGACGAAGGCTCCCTGACCCCGGCAGCGGCGGCGGCGGCTGACCACCTCTGTTTGCCGGTGGTGGCGGCGGCAGTGGCCCTCTCACTCCTCTCATCGGTGGTGGTGGTGGCGGTGGCCCACCATTCTTTGATGCCATCAGCGGTGGTGGTGGTGGCGGCGGCCCACCATTCCTTGATGCCATTGGCGGCGGCGGCGGTGGAGCGGTGTTTGGTGAAGGCGCAGATGGCGGCAACGGCGGCGGCGTGGGAAGCGAAAATGTTACCGATGATGGCTGTGACAGATTGGTGGTTGGAAGCGAACATTGAGTTGTTACATTCTTATTTGGAACATTTTCAAATTTTGGTGAGGTTGCTGGCTGATGAACACGGATCAAATTTTTCACACCATCGTCTGTATTCCCGAAGGAAACATTTTTCAGGATTTTTCCAATCTCGTCGCTCGTCTCCATGTTTTTGTCCACAACCTCGTTCTCGATTTCCATATCCCCCATCACCTCATCATCTTGATTACCCATAAGGTCGTGCTCTGCAGGTTCCAGTTGTTGTTCAGACGACTTTCTCGATTCTTGATCGCAGTCTTCTGTCTTGACTGATTGGGTAATCTTGTCTTTAATGTTGTTATTATTATTATTAATAATATCCTGCGTGAGGGAATTCCCATGAGGGAACATGTGGAATGAGAGGCGCTTGAGGTCGATGGGGTTGAGTTTGCCGACTGCCTGGACTCTGAGCGGCAAAAGCATAGGCGGAGAGTATGAACCCTTTTCGCGAATGCTCGACGATTTCCAAGCATTTGGGAGAACCGAAGTTGGTGTTAGTGGGGAGGTGGATAGGGATATTGGGCCATCTGAGTATGACTCCGAAAGTGCTTTTCCAAAGGCGTTTGACGAAGGGTTATAGTCCCTCATGTCGTCGTCGTCGTCATCCATCTCGTCAAATAATCTCTCTCTAGCAAGTTTTATTATGTCCTCGAGCAGTCCTAGCGCTGAAGAGTGGAAAAATATTACAACTATTAAATTTGTGACAAAATTCTATGGAGCCATCGGATGGTTTTCTTATGGAGCCATCCACCATTTATGACACCTGTCCAAATTGTATTTATTGCAGGACACGTGTCATTACACTATTGGTGAATAAGTGCGGATGACTCCATAAGTCGAGCCATCCGATGGCTCTATAGCAAAACTGTAAATTTGTGGAGCAAAAACTTTTAGGGAACCTCTAGTTGGAGGTTTTCTTGAGGTTTTGAGAAAAATAATCTTGAGCTACATGATCGTGGTAGCATGTTGTTTAGATAAGGTACGTTCTCTAAGAAAAAAATTAGTTGTTATATTTATTTAAGGAGATTGGAGATATAGTGATTAAGACAAGAAAATAAGAATCTAAAGACTGAGACAGTTGTAAAAAGTTTTTAGGTTTATGATTGTGAAGAAAAGATTTGGATGCTTGTGTATATTGTTTTATGCAATGAAAACTCTATTTCAGGTTTAACATAGGAGATGCTCTTAAAAAATTATGTACTCTGCGTACCAATTTGTTCCAATTCAAAATGTTCTAACTTCATGGAGGTGTCGAATTTGCATTTGACCATCCACTCCTCGGTTGTCCACATATCTCCAACTGATTTCAGAGCATCGCAGAAAAGTTTGAGAGTCTGTTCAAATAATAAAGATATTTCATTATCTTAAGTATCCAAATTACAAATTCTTCGTTTGGTCTATAGGTGATCAATAATAACCTTATGCATTGGCACATCTATAGTTTCTGACCGCTTAATCTTTGGGTAGCGTTTGAAGAGATCATTCAGGGTCGACGTCAGCAACTGTATTGAAACAAAAGCCACAACAAATAAGTTGTATGGCATTTTATGGGGGGAGCTTTTTTTCGGTTTCGACTTTAAAGATGACACGTATAGTAGTTAATGGAAGGCTAAAAGAAATAGACCTCGCTCACAGAAGCAGAACCAACACAAGGAGAGAAATCGAGTAAGTCTCGGAGTGTGGTTATTTTGTTCATAAGCGCTGTCATAGTTACAAAATTGCCGGCCACACCACTTGAACTCTTCATGCTTTTAGCGTTCTTTGATGTCACATTAGAGGTTTTGTTATTGGTCTCAGTCCGTGCTTTCCCNTAAAGTCTTAATATTGTTTGACATTTTGTATTGATTATCAAGAAAATCCTAAAACTAACTGTGTAAATATTTTTTCAAATAGAAATATCCCTCTGGATATGAAGGGGAAAAATGAAATTATTGTTCATATGAAAGTTTCCATTACAACAAATTTATCATAAATCAAGATTGTCATCTTATATATGATGAGCAAATACATGAAGAAATGAGAAGATACTATATGACATACCTCAAATCCAGAAAACTTCTTTCGGAAAAAGAAAGGGGCAACACCACATAACGCCCCGGCTGACATGGCCTATTAATTACAACTTATATAGGAAAAAAAGTCTTCAATAGAAAGCCAAAAAAATAATACCTGCTTCCTTTTGATTGTTTAATTAATTTCTTTTGAAAACTATTTACAGGACCTTACAGTTCCCTTTGGTTTATTGGTAAAAATTAAAAACTAATCCAAAATTTGTTGACCAAGACATAATTGATCATAATAAAATATTAACAAGAAACAAGGTATAGAATAAATATTCTATTGAAGACCATTCAACCACGAGATTGAATAATAATGAAATGGGAATTTAGGTAATGTGCAGCCCAATAAAGTATTGTTTGTGCCTCTTCAAGAAATCATCAAAATGGACAACTTTTGACTTCTGCTCCCTTTGCTTCCAGAAGAGGAGAGAATGAAAATGGAGAAAATGGTTACATGTTTCTCTGTGAGGGCAAAGCAGTGCACGACCATAATTATCGGAGTCTTAGTCTTTAATTTATCCTAATTCTTGAATTTATCCTAATTATAGAAGCTAATAGTTTTGAGTTGTTTTAGGAGTTTTTGTTTTTTAATTTACATTTTTCTATGGCTTTGATCAAATCGCAAGAATGTAGGACAAATTTGTGATGGTGAGTTAATACCGAAGGCATAATTTTATTTTTTTTTAAAAAATAAAATACACAACTGCTACACGAACTTAGACTTCATTAAACTCGGTATATTAAATTGTCAAATTCATAAAAAAATATACATGGCTCTTGATAGATAGTTACATGTCATTTATGTTTTTCTATTAGACTAGTAAAGTGCACGTGTGATACACATGAGAAAAATTAGGTTGCTTTGTGATTTTTTCTTTTGGTTAATGAAATCTCTGTTATTATTCCGAGTTATGCACAATATCATTTGCAATACTTTTTACATTTTCTTCTTGCCCATTTTGTACTGAATTATATTTAGTGGGAATTTAAAGATATTGAAATAATATATGAAATTACGAATGCATAAATATTCGAAAGAGAATGGTTTCCAAATCAAAATAAAAATTAAATAACTTACTATGCAAAAACAAATTGTCTACAAAATAGAGAATTAACTAAATAAAGAACTAATACGAATTATTGTTGCTTCAGTTCTTCTCCTTCTTTATGTTGATGATTGGAGATGGTTTCCTTCATTTTACTTTTGTACTTTTCTTCTTAATAGTACTAATTGTTTCAGGATCTTCAACTTCAGTAACGCAATCATTTGCATCTTCTATTATCTTGTTGATGGATCGCTTCTTTCTGCTGTTGGTCCTTTTTGACGAATTGGTTTCATCCACATGCAGATCATAAGGGCTGTTTAGAGAAATTGCTTGGTTATCATTCATTTCCTCATTATCTGTAGTTTGCGTCCTCGCAATTGCGCCTGCCACCGCATTGAATTCTCCTCTTGAGTTGAACGACCTATCATCGACTGGAATGAGGAATTGAAATTCAAATGTTGACTGTAAGCTCAACCCTTTGTAATATCCAGATAATTCTTCCCCTAATGAGCATCGAAAAGTAAGTGTTTAATAAATATTATACTTGACGATTCATGTGAATTTGAAAATGAGTATATATTTTACCTTCTCAATTGATCTAATGTAATCATTAATAGAACATCCAACATACACCATTGCGGCATCCTCAAATAAAGTTATTGTCGCATTGTGGGTATCTCCCACGACGTTTAAGAACAACCTATATGTAATGATTGTATATGTTTTTTTAAATCTTTTTGTGTACCAAAAATATTAGATGCGGTGTTTTTGTTATGCTTAATACCTTGGAGTTGGTTCCACGACTTTGCTATTGCACTTTTTGCATGACATGCTGTCGTCGGTCTTCGTAATTGTAGCGACACAACTTTTACACGATTCATACCACAAAGATGATTTATTCATGACCTTATCCACATATTCTTTGAAAGAATAGTGTTTTTCCTGTGATGAAAAGAAAAGTAATGAAAAATATTGCAAACAAAATTGAAAAAGATTCTTCTTGGTTGAAAGTTTTGAGATACTTCTATATGGTACCATTTAGATGCTAACGGAGGAAAAAAATAGAATACATCAATGTTATGTTACATTAGGAAATATGACGGATGTACAATATTATAGTACCAAGATAGAAATTAAACTATCCGACAAAAATTTTATTATTACATGAAATTCAAATAAAATGCACTATGAGGATGGACATTGGCTAAAATGATCTATGACCCAAATTAATTACTAAGCATTATAAAAACTATGCATGCATGCCGAACAAACTCAAATATACAAACTAAATTAATTGATTACTTGAGCACGTGGTAGTGTTGAAGACAAAATTAAATACGATAGGCGCACATTGTTGATTACTCACACACATATTTGGTAAAATACGTAAAAGAAAAAATAAAAGAATTCATAAGGCGATCATAATAACAGGTTGGACTGGCTAAATAATATATGTTGTACACAAATATTAAAGGATCACCATGAAAAATGGTTCGCCCCAACAAGAATATTTCATTATTAACATCTTTCACCCATTGGCAAGGCCAATTGCAAGAAATAGTTTATTTTTGATTATAGTAAAAAATGAATAGTCAATAATCTATACTATTATAAAAGGACGAGTGATTTTGTAAAAATAATGATTTGTCTAAAAAACCCTTACTTTGACATATATTTAATGGCAAATTAGTAATTCAGTAATACCCGTCTTATTTTATATTTTTAATTAACAAATGATGATCTGCCTAAAAAATCCTTACTTTGATATATTTTTAATGGCAAATTAGTAATACAGTAATACTCATCTTATTTTATATTTTTAATTAACAAATGAACTATCTAAAAAATCCTTAGTTTGACTTAATTTTAATGTCAAATTATTAATACACTAATACTCTTCAAATCTTACATTTTTTAGTTAATTACTAATACTTAATTAGATAAATAACAGCGTAACATTGAAGACTATTATGATCCACGCTCAAAGTATGACTCAAATAATTCTAAATTTTACTAAAAGTGATGGAGACTTGCTTTCGGCCGTGTGGTGTATGATTTCTATGCTCATTAGGACTTGATCATTATCAATTTGATTTCCTGATAGCTAAACTTAAAATTTTGTAATATAATCGCGCCAAGATAGTTTCTTTTAAACATGCTCAAAAGCAAAAGCAACCAAAAAAAACAATATCTATCTAGGCTTGTAAGATAATAATAATAATAAAAAAAAAAGAAATTTATTCTATTTAATTTACATTTCAATTGATAATTTATGTATACTTGGACTAACACCATGCCAACTATTATTATTATTATTATTATTATTATTATTATTATTATTATTATTATTATTATTATTATTATTATTATAATTGAAAATACAGTTGTTTCATCAATAAAAAACTATAGAATATAAATATCAATTCTCAAAATTAATTATTTTAGTATTTATTAATATAATGTAATTATCCCATAAGGAGACTGTAATGGATCGATACCTTGTAAACACAAAGAATGTAATTATTTGTATATGTTGTTGTTATTGTTGTTGTTGTTGTTGTTATTATTATTATTATTATTATTATTATTATTATCATCATCATTATTAGTATAACAAATATATTTTTAAATGTAATCCATGTTTTTAATTAAATAAGCATTAATATTTGTGTAAGTCAATATTTTAAATATGCAGAATTAAATACCCACTCCTGGTCCATAATTGTAATCTCTCTTATGGGCGTCTTTGCACCCGTTGTTTTTATAACAATCCTGGACTCTTTCACATTCATCACAATCCCACATATATCTGCGAACAGAATAATAAAACGTACTTGTTGAAGTCATTTATATAATAGTGTTAAGAACGAAAATGAGAGTAAATATACATACCAATCATTTCACTTTGATGAAGTTGTATGTCAATATCTCCGACCTTCATAAAATTATAAGGGATATTGTGTTTTATTTCTTCGGAGACGGGCTTGACTGTGGTCTTGGTGCTCCTCTTCAATTGGAGTCCTTTTCTGGATGAATTGCTGTTTTAGCATAGTTGTTGTTGATTTGTCGTACTTCTCCATTCTCAATTGTGAAAGTTTTATTTAACTGGAATTCTTTGGCGCATTCATCGATATCACTGTTAAACATTATTATGCCCATCTGAACCCCCTGTATACAATTATAGTTATGAATACAATGATTAATAATTGTTTATCATATATAATATTTTTAAACTACAATTGTACAACATATATTTATTTAAAATTAGAGAATCACACTATCATACCACTGACACACTATAATTTAGCTTATTGAATATAACGAAGTCAAATTTTCTTTTGACTATATAAACACCAAAAACAAAATAATTGAAATTGTTGGTATTGCAATTTACTTACAATTCTGCACGTTGGAAATACATAATCAAGTATAATTACATTAAAAAAAATTCCTAATTATTTCTTCACTGAACAAGAAAGAGAGTATGTATGAGAGAAGTAACAGAATAAAAATAGAACTACGAAGGAAATTAATACAAAGAAAAAAAGATGTAAAAACAGGGAGGTGATAGAATGAAGAATCTGAGAAGAACTATAACTTATACAAAGATCATAAAAAACTATCACCAATTTATTTCGTTCAATATAAAATCCATGATATACAAACATTGTTTTGTAATAAAATCCTAAAAAATTAAAAATAAATTGTGTAGTCAATAATGCATGTGAAAAAATTGAAAGTAAGCATTCCATAAAAATTAAATCACGTACTTACATTCTTGTCAACCATTATCATCTTTTGTAAACTTATCATGATCCATAATAGACTTTATTAGGCTCAAATGAAAAAGGCACAAAAATATTCAATTTAACAATATATAATTTATTCCAATGGAACACAGACCAATATCAATGCCTTGCAAGACCAAATATTAACATAACATCAGTATCATCCGAATACCAACAGGATTAAACTAAACTGTAATTGTAATTCACATTAAATATTCAATTCCACATGTACACTGCAACGTATAAGACTTGGGTGGAGGATGGTGTTTTGTTTGATCACAGTTTGGTTGGGGCAAAGTTTCAAATCAGTGACATATTTGATTGCTTTTCCAATGAGTAAGTAAAGTTAAAGTGTGGTAAAAAAAAAAAACATTAGCAGCTTTAGGATGAAAATTATAAAGATCAAAATAAGAAAACAGACTCGCAATATCTAAGAGCACCTGCCCTAATAAAGAATAAATAAATAGACACTGCAATAAATTGTAATCGGGTTTCAACAATCCTACTCAAAAATCAAATCTTTACTGATCTCACAAACACAAATTCCCAAATAATCAAGAAACCGTTACAAATTTTACCTCAAACAAGGTGTGGGCTTTAGTTAACGCACATAAAAGAACTGATTTCATAAATCGGCCGGAAGTTTCATGAAGAGCACCTTGTATTTGAATCTCGTATTCTGATTGGCCGGAAGTTTCATGAAGAGCAAATCAGAAAATATTCTCGTGAGAAGGTCGCTTTTATTCAGAATTTTTTTGGGCAGATAATTCGGAATGTTTTTGGGGACGCCGTTCTTGTTTGTTAAGATTGGTGTTTTGTTTGCTCACAATATTAAAAAATTAATATTTCTTTGGTGAATTTTCTTCATTGTCCGACATCTATTCTAATCGATTGACATTTCATTAGACTGGTCTCATCAATTAGGTGTTACCTTCAAAATATAAGCTTAAGTGAAATCCGTCAACGCATTCATTTTTTCTTAAAATGTTGCCTACACATTTCATCTTCACAAACTCCTTGCTCTCTTTTCGGCAAATTTCCAGTATATTCCGGCATCTATTTGTCTGAGCGACCAACATTTGGAATCATCATGTCGATAGACTGCTATCCTCAAAGCATCAGTTCAAACAAAGTTCATTTACCTATTTAATATTTGTTAAACTTCTTATGCACATTCTAGTTTTGCAAGCTCGTTTCTGACTTTTTTCTGCCCACTCACCTTTTCCACATAGTTGAAGCAAAGTATGTCATCAACAGACAACAATTAATATCAAAATGCAAAAAAAGAAAAAAAAAAAAAATATCCATCCGCACGCCAAGAAAATTTCCTGAAAACACATCATGGGCTTTGATTATTTCAAAATAAACGTACTTCAATTTGAATAGAAAGTCATATAATACAATTATACAGCCAAGAAATTCACAACTCATTCCATTATCCTACTGTAGGCAAATGAACTGAAAATCTATATAAAATTCAAACTTACAGTTTCACGTTTATTGAAACACAAGTATCAAATCCCATTACTCTGTAATATACTATCTTTGCTAAAAACAAGAAAGCACAAGCCAAAAAAGCAACACTTTACAGCTTTGTTATGCAGCGAGTTTAGTGGATGGAGATTTGTTCTTCATGGGTTTTGGAGGGGTTGACTTATTCCCCACCGGAAGCTTCTTACTTGCGGAAGTCAAACTGCTGGCAGCTGTCCTTTCAGCTATTCTCTTCTGCCGTTGAATGCGTAATTCCTCCATTCTTTTACGCTCCTCTTCTTCCTGTACGAAAAATAAAAAACATTGTCATAAACTATACATTTGACATGAACAACAGAAAGATTTGTAAGAAGAAGAAAGGTTGAACAGGTGAGGTGCAAAAAGCATGATGGTTAAAGGGTCTCCCAGCATAATATATATTAGCATAAATTCAGCTGAACTTCAGGTATAGGTTTTGGAAATTCAAATCTTGAATGTTAAATCAGGATTTCATTATGGAATTATTATCACCTTCATCAACTTATATTTCTGTGCCATAGCTGGAGACAGAATCTTCTTGCTCTTTGAAACAGAATCCATCTTTTTCGATGTGTCCCTTCCAATCTTTTTCGCTGTGGGTCCCACAACTCTTTTTCCATTGGCACTTTTACCATTCGCCACAATAGCAGAAGATTTTTTATCAGCTTCGTTAAAAGATATTTCGACTTGATAATCCATTTCCGGGGTCCACGAGGCGCTAGATTCTTGCGACTCTCTCAAGAGAACCATGCAGAGGTCATTGGGCTCAGCAGAGCCCGAAATAGTTGGGCTTCCTTTTCCGGGCTTGGGCACATCAACAATGTCAGCTTCTATATTGATATCCGTTGTCCAACTAGAAGTATAGTGCTCACCTACAGCCGATCTCGACTCTATAATGAAAGAATCATCGACCACAGAAGTTCGTTCAGTTGTTTCTTTATGAAAAATGCTACTACTTTCGTAAGATAATTTTTGGTCCAATTTTTCGGACCCTTGTGTTTCTGAATATCCAGATGAATTATTGTTGACAATATACCAATCTTCCTCTTTCCTGTTCTTGACAGTTGTTTGCTCGGCGGAAAAATCAGCTGAACTCATCTCTGTAACTCCTTTATACTGTTCTGAAAACAATGCATTCTCGCCTTCGAAAATGTTCCTCTTCGTATTTAAGCGAGTATCTTCACCGTTAACAAAATCAATCGAGCTTCCTTGGCCGCCGTTAGACCCTTCTCTCTGAACCAAAAGCATCGAATCATTAACACTACCATTGCTAGGTTTTCTTAAAAGCCCTCCATTAGAAGTTTTCATGACATAATGTTCTTCTCCAGGGTTATGCTTCGGTAACTCACTCGAATCAGACTCTTCGTGAGTTAAGAGAAGATTCTGGAAAGCATCCCAAGCATTGCTTGTTTTCCCTCCATCAGAAATATTTGTATGGATGCCAATTTCACTGCCATTTAAGTTGTTCTGAGAATGGGAACCCTGTTTTCCTCTGTTTTTATCTACACCTTCTCTAATAGAAGCTTTATCGTCTTCCGACGCATCTTCACTATTTTCATTTTCTCCGTTGAACCTTTGGGATGTAATGTAGTTTATGTTACGAATAACAACTGTTTTCGAACTCTTTTTCTTGTGCTTGTTAGAAGGCCTTTTTCCCTTTGGCAAAAATTCTTTGTCTTGCTCGTTCGCCTCATCTGAATCAGTTTCCGTGCTAGATTCGGTTTGTTCGTCCTCTTCGGAGGCATCTGTGCCATTTTCATCCAAAGATTTTTCCTTTCTTCGTGTTTTCTTGTGAGTTTTGGATTTGCTGGGTGGGGCCCACCCCACATGGCCTGGGTAATAAGGGTAATATGCCGGAATTTGCTGAATGGGGCCTCGAAAATTGTACATGTACGGTGGAATCTGGTTCATCCAAGGAACCTGTTGTTGACCGTTTTGTGTTTGCTCAGCTGCCGCAACATTATTTTCTGTGACCGAAATAAATGAGTTATAATAAGTGTATTCGTTTTTATTGAATTTAAAAAAGGAAAGGAAATATATGTGACGTGCCTTTGATTGGAGTACCACTAGTTGACTCTGGTAGAGTGGCATTGCCATTAAAACTATCGGCCGTTAGCATAATTCCAGAAGCTTCCATGTACGAGTGATCGGTCATAGGGTACGCTTGTACAGCGGCTAATTCATCCATCCATTGGTCATCTGAATGCTTTTTCTTGTAAAGCTCCTTGAAATCAATGCACGCGTCTCTTCATGGG